TTCGATTCGATTTGATTCGATTCTATTCTATTCTATTCTATTCTGTGCTATGCTATGCTTTGCTTTGCTATGCTATGCTAATGTATTCTATTCTATCCTGTTCTATTCTGATCTTTTCTATTCTAGTATATTCTTTGTGATTCTTTTCTATTCTTTTCTTTTTTATTCTTTTCTGTTCTGTTCTTTTCGGTTTTTATCTATTCTTTTCGATTCTGTTCTAGTCTATTCATTTTTTTTCCTCATCCTAATTCTAATTCTGGTTATTCTAAGCCTTAGCTGAATCGTCTAGTTTTTCGGAGTTCTGGTGGAGGCTACATCCCTCCAGAGACCTGGCGCAAACAGCGCTGGCAGCCACAGGGGGAGCCTCGGATGAGTATATTGGAGAGAGATGGGGAGATGGGGGGAATTGATGCCAGAGGTTGACCAGCTGATGGAAAAATAATTTATGATTTATGCATGATTTTTCAATGCTTTGGACTGTCGTGCAGTTTTGGAGATTGCTGATTAGAAATTCAGAAACACTCTTGGGACGAGATGTCAAGGAATGCACGAGTAGTTCGCTGACTTGGACTTGGCCGTGACTGTGCAGTTAACCAAAAATCTTGGTAAAAATCTTTAAATATAACACAGGTTTTCTTGCAGTTTTCTGTGCTTGCATGATGTAGAGTTTACCCCGAGCTCAGCACCATACCCTTCTGAGGATATTTTCAGCCTTGGCGTGGTTTTCTTCCAATTAATGTCTGCGCGGGTGCCGCGAAGCGGCCCCGACCGGGTGCATGGCATTTTTCAGGACCTTCGTTGCAGTTGTGCACGGATCCAGGTGCAATCGTCGAAACATTTTTGTATTTGCCTTCAACCCCGCCAGCATGATCTATTTCCATTGATCCGTAATTTCTTCAGGAAGGCGCCAAGAATGTCCAAGTCCCTGGATGGCAGGATATAGCAGGGATGTCATGCTGAACTTGTACCTGTGAAGTCTTTCTGGAGAGTTCTTGGACAGTCAGAGGGTTGGGTCCAGAGGCTTCTTTGCGTGCCATTTGGCAACCAAGGAAGTTGGGTACCGCACTTTGTCAACGCAGCCACCATGGCAACTTTTCCCTACCAACATGTCTCTTGACACCCATTTGACCGCTGCGCTTTGTGTGGATCACCAGCTCGCAAAACTGACAGACTTTTTTTCTAGAAGGCTGATTGTCGCCAACCTTCATGAAAATAAGAGGGAAAGGAGGGGGCTGTCCAAATGGTTGCCTTTGTTCACCCTAAGGCGTCTCTTGACAGAGTTGGTCTCAGCAATGTTACGCCTCCTGGCTTGGGTTCTCCTCAGTCTGGGATAGCCTTGCCAGCACCCTCATGAATCACCCATGATTTCATGGCTGTGGCTTTTGCCAAAGATACGTAACAAAACTAGGCTGGCCCACAGTCACAACACTGCAGCCAAATTATTAAGGGAAGGACCCAGAGCGACGGCCACGTGCCCTTCAAGCACTTCAGTTTGGTTGGCCCTGACCTGAGCTTTCCTGAGCTTTCCTGAGCTTTGCAAGCGTCCCTCACTTCATGGCTGGGCTTTCTGCAGCTCGAGGTTCTTTTCCAACTCGGACCAAGAGATGCCAAAGGATCTTTGCTCTTCATTCCATTGTAGCAAGCACTTCGTTGCAAGCACACTCCAAGAAATTTCCTTTTTGGGCTTTAATAGACCATTGCAGGAGACCTTGGCCTCCTTGATCAGTACCTTGGTATGTGGATCTAGTCTAAGCAGATGAGCACTTGGACACAGACCTGACAGACCAAGGTGGTTCAGCGAAAGCGTTCTTCAAAGGGGAGCTGATCAATGAGCTTCTTGAGCACCTCGATGCGCAATTGCGCAAGAATTTCTTCAGCACCGAGTAGGACATAGTAGGCACCCTTTAAAAGCTTGGGTTCCCAGAAATGTGAGTGGAGTGCTTTCTTCTCTCAAGCTCAGGTGCTGCAATTTGCGTCACTTGCGAGAACTTCGGGCAGTGCTCAAAGATGCTCACCTTGGCCATTGACAACATGACTGGCTTGATTTCAGAGAGTCATTGCAGTAATTATATGTAATTGTTGCTGTAGGCAGCGAGCAAAGTGTGAGCGATACCCAAAGCACCTGGAGTGAACCAAAGCCTGGCTTATCAAGACGCTTTCCCATCTTTCTCCACATCTCTCGCAGCTCAAAGGAAGAAGCAGCTCGAAGATTCAGCAAGAAAGTCCCAATAGCAACTGTGAGGCCAGTGGAAAATGTCAGATCGGGAGTCCGACTCGAAGTCCGAGTCTGATGAGGAACTGAGGAACCGGAAGTCACACAATGACCACACTGTCTCTGCGATTTTGTTTGGTTCTTGTGGCGCAATGATGTGCAATGCAGGTCAGTTTTTTCTGATGCTGGTGTACGAGCCAAGCTAATAGAGGCGCGGTTGCAAAGAGCAGAACTCCGCTTTTTGCATTTTTACTGCATCATACGGATTGATCACAGATGATCCATTTTTTCCATGAACACTCACTGTCACTGCTTGCAACATTCTTGCAACATGCAAGAAAGTCACATCACTCCTTTGAGCTGTTCAGTGAAAGGGTGAAAGGGGTTGGCACCGGATTGGCACGATCACATCAGCAGCCATGGGTCAGCAGCCTTGCTGTGTTGAAAGAGAAGACCATTGCTGCGAACCTGGTCTGTAATGGTCTGAGTAACATCTACATTTCCTGCGCTGGGGCAGGTGGTGCTAAGGCTCCCTACACGACATGATGGGAAAGTTATGCACGATTTGTTACTCATTGCCGCTGGCTTTTGGCCCAAAGTTATTATTGAATGCCGCTTCCTTTTAAAGAGGTCTTGAGCAACCAGATGTAAGTTGAAAGGGCCGCTGCAATTTTAGTGTGTACATGTATGTAAGTACAGTATTATTGTCATAGGTCACAGGTCTTCTTTGGCAAATGCAAGCACGCAGTGCTGCCAAGCCTAAGGTACGAAGAAGCCATCCAGACTTGCCGCCGCTGACAGAAGAAGGTTTTCGTATGGCATGCAGGCAATCCGTAAGCGGTAGATAGAGGTAAGACTGGTAAGATTTGCGAGCGGACAACAGGAGTTGAGCAGACACACAATTCGCATCAATCCACCCCCTCTAATCAAAATCATCAAAATCTATCCACTTGAATCATCTTCATTCAGATCTTCATTCTCATCCTGCTAAGCGGCTGAGCGTTGTAGCTGAGCGCTAGGGACCCATGTGAACTGCGAGACTTCTTGCGGCGCTTGGTGGTTCAGGGAGGTGGGACTGCCACTTCGGTAGCATTGGCTCCTCATTGGCTCCTCATTGGCTCCTCATTGGCTCCTCATGGGCTCCTCATGGGCTCCTCTTTGATACGGTACAGCGGAGTACAGATGATTTGAGGACGTTTGAGGCCAAGGCCTACACGTCCTATACACGTCCTACACAGCACACCTCAGAGCCAAAGACACTGAAACATGATCCTGTGATGAGAGGATTCTTCGAAGCCTGAAACTCAAGATTCCTGAGACTTAACCTTGAGGTTACCAATCAGTACCTTCTGGCTTCATACGCAAACAAATGCTTCCTGGTTGCAGTTTTGTTCTATGTTGACTGCATGACTCTCTTCTGTAGACGTTTGCGCTTTTCAATGTGTCGGTTGGCTTTGACATGACGCCTGGGACATAAGCTGTGTGGTCCTTTTGGAAGTCCCTTGGCCCGGTTGATCGATGTTGATCCCCCATAGAGCGACAGGTTCTTGCTTTGAACAACCTGTGTAACTTGATGATACTTGATGTACCTTGACAGCTAGAAGGCACTCCGGAAGCCGACTTCCAGGAGATGCTCCAGGAGCCATAGCCTGAGTCCATCAGTCCTACAGGACAGTCCTACCTGCAAATTTGAAGCACAGATTCTTGATGGCGAAGCTCTGAGGCAGTTGTTTGTTCTGAGGATGTATCGTTAGGATCGCCTAAAATCCATAGTATATCGGACACATTACATACTCACTCTCTCTCTCTCTCTCCCTCTCCCTCCCTCCCTCTCTGTGGGTAGAACATATGAAGATCTAGGTTTAGGATGATTTAGGGACATGTATTTATCTTGTGAACTTTGCGACAAGGTTGACCACTGCATCCTGGGCGGGTGGAATCGACCATGGCCCAAGATGGCCTGGTGCCAAAGCGCTTAGTGGCTTGGCCATGGCCGGGGGCGCATGAGGCGCATGAGGCGGGGACATGTTGTCAAGACGTGTCATTTTCTTAAAGCAATTGTGCATACTGTGCATATGTGTATTACATGTGTATATCACTGTCACTTGTTCTTGGTTTTGGGTTACTTTAACAGATTCTACACGCTAAATAGCTCCAAAGACAGTTCCAGAGAGTGCCGCAGAGAAAGCTAAGTGCGTCCCGTGGCTTCACAAGAATGATCCATAATGCAATCGAACGCACCAGGTGCAAGCCTTCTGAAGTTTCACTCACTGACCACCTGCAGAGCTTCTGCTTTGGATTCCTTGCTTGGTGCAGACAAGTCATCACAAGGCTATTCCTGAAGTCTTTTATCAAATTAAGGGCACCTCCTCAATTCATCTCAATTCTTAAGTGGAAAATAGTGAGCTGAGTGAACCAGGTCAATGAATTGAATTGAGGAATGGAGCTAGCTGTAGTCTGAGTTTCTCGTCATCGACTTCCTAATTCACAACACTTTTGCTTCGTCGATCACAGAAACGATGTCCGACGACAGGCCTGAATGTACTGCGACCAGGGTCCCTAGGGTCCAGAGCACGCTTTCAAAAAGAGTTTTTTTGTTTGTTTCCATAGCTTTTGGGTGACTAGCATGACAAGAACCAATCGGAGCCAGAGTCTCAATGTCTTCATATTCCGTGTTTCACTTAACTTTTGTGGCAGTTACCTGAGCTGCTGATGACCCCTTTGCTTCGTGGTGCCTGGGTGTCAAAGGCTTAATCAAGAGCCTTTGGTCTCCAGAGGCTGCAAAAGTGCGCCAAAATTTGCAGGTGGAAACGACAAAAAGGGCAACGAGCGGGTCCAATGCCTTGCTGTCTGTATTGCTTCTGAAACATGCGTTTGAAATGTGTGCACTCATGTGGCAAGTTCAGCAGTTGGTTCAAAAAGCTTCTGTTGCGTTGTCTTGCTTCAGTTGCTTCAGGACTACATTCGCAGTGACAAGGCGGCTTCACTCTTTCCGAAGTTAGAGATGTGCAAAGACCATCAAAGACCATCAACGACCATCAAAGACCATCAAAGACCAAACTTTATCCAGCTGTGCAGATGGGTTACACAGAGGTCCTTTAGCTTGTTTTTGGGATGAGTTCACCACCATTTTGCATTTCTTGTTCGCCAGGAAGCTGACGAGATGATCAGCATTGACGGACTACTGGACGAAGCAGTTCAGGACAGATGTGGACAGACCAATCCACGTGATCCTCAACTGCCTAAGACAATGGAGGGCCTCACAATGCTGCACTTGTTTGCGACGGGGCGAGTCCTGCCCGGTAGCATGATGATGATTACTGATTACTTACATTTTACATCCTTTTCACTGCTTGTCACCTTTTGCCACCTTGGTTTTGAGGAGAAAGAGCTTCGGAACCTGCAAGCAGTCTTGTGCTGAGGATTGATTTCAAGCTGGAGACCCTTATATACCTGAAATCAGATAAATCAGCTTTCAGGTGACCGATCTTTTTAATGAGATGGATTCTTCGCGGCAAGGCCTGGTTCACTCTCTCCGGACAGGTACCTGTTAGAAGAACTCCTTTCTCTTTCCAGAATCCTCCTGAATTCTTTAGATCGGCAAGTGCCTGGCTTGCCTGGCAAGTTATTTGTCTATACATACATACATACATACATACATACAGGAACTTTTGGTATTACACCCTCAGATTACACCCAGTCCTGGTGTAAAAATCAAGCAAAAATCACCATGTCTGATTTGTTATGGGGTCAGGGCACATGACATTCCTGTGCTGATTGGGTTGTTCCCATCGATTCAGGCTCCAGAGAGCTGAGATTCACACCAGAAAACGCAATGAAGAAGTGGTAAACCAAAATCAAAGACAGAAAATGCAATGATTTCACTTACTTGTTTGGGGTTGGCACCTGCCATTACAAAATGGCAGCCATGCGCTCGTTGCAATGCCCAGCCCCAGCTCATGAAATCAAGATGTATCACATTGCGGCGACTGGCGAGATTCTCTGGACTATCCAACCCCTGTTTGAATCTTGCCATCCAGAAAGAGCTGCGAGGCTTGGTGGGGGTAATTGACTGAATGCCATGCTTTCGGCTCGCCCTTTTCTTCCCCTTTTCTCCCTGAGGTCCTACTTTGCCTATCTAGAGAAGATGGGAACCCCTCTGGAACGATTGTTCTCCAAAATCTTTGTGGCAGCACACGCCCCTGCATGGGCAGTAACTCGGAATAAAGTGCAACCATGAATGCTCACCTTTTTCAAGAGACCCTCCCATCCTATTGCGCTCACTGTCTCAGGTTTGTTCAGCACAAAGGCGGCGGCCACAACGACCAGACAGCCAACTAGTTCCGGCAGAGATCTTGGCAGATATCCCTGAGGTTGTGGTTCCCACTTCCAGTTTGGTTTGCCATTTGGTGCACTGGGTTTCCTCCAAGAACCGTGAATGGCCCTATCGGGTCAAGCAGCATGTTTGCATGAATGCCTTTTTTAAATATTGCCATAGTTTCATATCAAACTTTTGTTTTGTAGTCTCATATTGAATTTACAACAGCGGTTGACCGTTTGGGATTGCCACAATCCTCAGGGCAGCCTGCTGCTTGCGGGATTGGCTCAGCCCCCTCAACGATGGGACCGTGCCAGTGGAGACGCTCCAAGTTTCCTCAAATCACAGAATGCCAGTCGAGAATGGCCAGTGTATGATTGATAGCTTAGAGATGAAAAGCTTCACAGCACTACCATGGTGGGTAACCTTCCGGAATTTCATGGACGCAATGGCACAGGAAGAAGCAGGACTACCAGAGTCTAAAAAACTCATCAAGGGCAATGTTGCTACCTGACCAGTTTTTTTCGGGGAAGTCTATGTCTATGTCACATGCATCACTGCAGTCACAGAAAAGCCACACACACACACGCAACAACAAAACACAAACACACACACACACAGCCGACATGAAATCTCACACAGCGTCCTTCGCCGGTACCAAGGCTAGCCTGACAGTAGGCGAGCTGATTTCTTTGCTTGCACTTTGTGATGAAGACCCTCTTTGCATCAATTGTTGCCACCGCCTTGGCCGACAATGTGCGGCGTTGATGTCTGAGCATCTTTACAGGTATGCTGAACACAGGGGGTCAAACACTAGTCTGGTGGAGCAACAAAAAAAATCAAACGTTCTGCATGGAGCAGTGAAAGAACAAGCGGTGTCTCTTGTCCAGTCTGGTGTCAAAACGTCACTGGAAGATGCGCTGGAGCACATGGGGTATCGACGCGGGCTTGCAGCGAACATTTACCAGGACAGTTATGTGAGGGTGTCCTATCATGCCATGCCACGTCATGGTTTGTAAGGTATTAGGTCCCAGCTCAACATTTGTTTCTTTGGGAGGACTACCAAAGTGCATTGCTTTATCGCCATCGAATTGACTTTGAGGGTGCCCGATACTTCCAGGCTGGTAATATTGTGAGTTGCCATTCCTGTTTCTCCAAGACTTCCTCACACTAAGTCGCTTGAACATGTTGCAGGTTTTGCTGGACGGAGGGAATCCCATGAAAAAGAAGGCTGTGTACTTCATCTTGTGGTGCTGTGAATTCAATTGCGGCACATCTCTCCCATTCCAAGCGCCTTGCCTGCAGTCAGCTCAGCTTGCTGGCCAATCAAGCTTCATGTTTTTGTCGCAATGCTTGCCTGCAAGTTGTGCATCTTTGTGCACAGGCTCAAGTGACTCGACCGGATTCCCATGATTCTTCTTGACTAGTTACTAGTTGACTGAATTGTTTCAATCTACCAGCATCAGAGGGGGACCCAAAATCATAAACAATATTATATTCTTGGCACCCTTTTGAAAATGTTTGCTGGGCCCAATGGTTCTCCAGAGCTATGCCGCAGTTTCTCTTGGGCACCAAGATTGCTGGACTGCTCCCGCCAGCTAATGTCAGTTAGTGACATTGAGAAATCCTTCTTTGTTACAGGCCAAGGATCAGACAGTGACTTCACTGGAGGAGCTGCGGGGTTCGAGGTTGCCACCACCCTCCTGACCACCGCTGCAATGCAAAACGGATGGTACGTTGACTTGTGTCCACGTTCGACATGTGAACTTTGTTTGCAAGAATGACGGACTTGAAATTGACCATGCCAGAATGGATCAGAAATCTAATCTACTAGACATCCATCCCATGCAGAGCCAAGGAGATTGATAGCACGATGAGGAGAATGCTCCAAAACCGGTTTCCCCATGAATGCCACGTCTTTGGTGACATACTGGACATCTTTGGGGATGGGAGGGCTGCCTACAACCACCTCAATAGCATTTCATCTTACAGAGACAAGATTGCTTGGGCAAACCAAGTTCCAACAAGTAAGACTGCATGGTGCTTTCAACATGATCAGTACTGTGACCTCTTCACCGGTGCCACACTTCGATGTGGCGGTTTCCCATGTCAAGATTTTAGCCAAGCAGGGATGCAACAAGGAACTTCAGGAAAGCAAGCCCCAGTTGTGGCTGCGTTTGGTAGAAAAACGAAAGAGTTGGCGAATCCGCTGTTAACAATCGAGAATGTTGACCGTTGCCCCACCGACGTCGTTCATGATACATTCAGCTCTGAATATCAATGGTATTGTGAAGCTTGCTTTGATCCAGCTGCAGTTGGCTTTGACTGCATCAGAAGATCCAGGCTAGGTACTTTCTAGAAGAAAAAAGATCATCAAAAATCCAAGATGATCCAAATTCCAATTTGCTGCGATTGCATATCCTAGATTCTAGATCCATTTTTCCTCGATAAAACTTACGTCCACCACAGGCTGTATATGGGAGCTCTTCACGAATCTTCCGCAACATGCGTGATTGACCCTGGCATCCTGCTACAGCATACTATGCATTGTATCGGGCGGGACCCACCTTTGAAGCTACTTGCCATATATGCAGCCTTTACAACGGATGCAGGATTCAGGTTGCTCACCACATCCTGCCCCACTCTGGTTTTGTCCTTGTGGTAGCTCAGGCCAGGAATGCTCATGGTTGCTGGCACCAATGACTTCTGGCAAGATTGCTGGCACCTGACAAGTGGCGACAGTGGCCGGGGCAAGAGGTCTTCAGACCAGCTGCTTCTGGCTGCAGAACAAGCTAGACTGGATGATTACGTTTCCAAGTTCTGGGAGTTGCCCCACACAAACCGATGTGATTATTCGGATTTGGTAGTGCACTTAGGGGATTCCCCAGCTACAGGTTGGGTGACGTGGAGCGCCCGACATGGGGTAATGCCCACAATCAGAAGAATTGGGGGGCTGTACTATGTTCCATGTCTAGGCCGACACCTCACACTTCGAGAAATGTATTTGTCAATGGGATACCCTACCTATGTTCAGTATGTAGGTTACGATGCATCCCTTGCCTATCGTGTTTTCACGCCACAAACAAGTTGGTGGGATGCACGCAGAGCACTTGGCAACTCAATGCATGTTGCCCAGGTGGGGTGTTTTGTTGGATCCCTTCTTTTGAGTTCCCGGTCGAAAGAATCAGGGCTCCCATTAAGCGAGCTCTTCCAAATTATGGACAGGAGCCTGTGGCAATAGCCATGAACGACACCTTGCCGCTAGAAATGCATGTTTGCTGAATGCTTGGGTCAATCTTAAGCTGCAATGAAAATCCAGTGAAACAGCCATGGTTGATGCACCCCAACCAGCAGCAAATTTGAAAGGTCAAACTCGGTCAAACAGCTAGTAGATTCGGGATGTACGGAGTGCCACCACCAAAAGGTACTGGGAAGGGTGTGCCTCGGCCCCCACCACCCGGAAAGGGTTCCAAGGGAAGTTACAAGGACGCATGGGGCAAGGGTAAGGAGAAAGGCGACAAGGGCAAGAGCACCTCCCGTGGAACTTCACCAGGAGCGCTGCAGCTGCACACTCGTTGAAAATTGATGCGCAGAAACTGTTGGTTCACAATGAGTCAGCAGTCAATAGCCATTCCTTGGGCAGGAAAGGCACCTCCGACCAAGACAGCTAAGGCTGCTGCCCCGGCTTGTCGCGGAGCAAAGGTCACAACTTCGAACAAACTCGATTTCAAGGACATGTATGCACTGCCAATCTACAACAAGCAGGACCTGTTGTTCAACCTTGACCGCCGACAGTTCAACAACAAGGTGGTGTGCCAGATGCCCAACGACGACTTGACCGCTCCTGGTCTTAAATAATTATTCTCTGGCTGGCCAATACACACGCACACACACGCACACACGCACACACGCACACACACACTGTAGTGACCCGTTGGGAACTGAATCCCATAAAGTGCAATTAGATAGAAACAAAGGACCTAAGGTAGATCTCCTCGAAGCGGTATACGATGAGTATGAAGGAATTCCGATAGAGTCAATCATGATCAGAAACAGGTTCCAAAAGATCCCAAGATAGAATATCGTAGACAAAGTCCCCACATAAATGAATTGTCTCGATAGGGTTCTCGGCTTAGCCCTCTGCCATGTCGACGAAAAAGAATAGATCCCAAATAAATAAATTGTCTCCATAGGGTTCTTGGCTTGGCCCTGTGCCATGTCAACGAAATAGAATAATAATAAATGTATTGAATACCAGATTGTGGCAACCGTGTAGAAGAAAATTGTTGTTGTTGTTGTTGGGGTTCTCGGCTTAGCCCCATGCCATGACTCTCGAAACCAAATGGATAAACCACTGCAGGTACGTCAAAGGGACGTCTCCCTTTGATATCACTGTGACTTCTGGCCGTCTTCGTCGGCACAGGAACCAGAGTCACACCTGTGCCCCCTGCGTTTTTGAAGAGTTGAATAAAATCAAAAATTGCAAAACTGATCGAGACAAGGAAGTTTACGTCTATACAGACGCTTCACACACACACACACTTCAAAACACACAACCACTGTTTTCAGCTGAGATACCACCAATCGCTCAGGACATCATCGCCTTGCTGGCCGACGTGGACCCGTGTGACAAGCCACAGGCCACAGACAGCGAAGATCCCCGTGGCAAACTCATTTTTTGAAACAAACAGTGTGACAGCATGGCACGTCAAAAATGAACAAAGGGTTGGGGAAAAACATTTAAAACAAATTTGGCTAAGGTGGCAAATATCTGGCCGGCTTGTTGGACAACATCTGGCTTCGCCTAGATGGGAAGGAGATCACTGGTAGCCAAGCTAAACATTCATAATTTTCAGTGCGTTTCACCTGATTTGAAAATCGTGGGACATCGTTGACAGGACTACGATAATTGGAGAAACTTTGGAAACATACCACCCAGACCCCTGGCTAGATTCAATAGAAAATATTCTTTGTATTTTGGAAATTTTCCACGTCCTTTGCTGGTGGCATACAAAGGGACACTCAAAGTTCAGGAAGAGTTTTTTTTACTAAAGTTTGTTGGCACAAGCCGGTCCAAGGCATCCATGGAAAGAAGCTCCTGGCCGAAGTTCGGCACTGGCGAGCCCAGAAGGAGGAGTTGCTGCAAACCATTGCTGTGTACTATATTGGGGATGATCAGTGCATCAGCTGTGGTGATTCCACGGCTTACTTACCTGCTGGGTGGAACTACTGGTGCGAAACTATCTACTGGGATTTCCTGTGGCTGGACGAAGTTCATTTCCCCAGAATGCCAACTTCAGAAAATGCAATAAACAGATCGAAATAGATTCTTATCATTTGGTGATTCAGAATGTTGTGCTTCAGAGAGCAATACCCTGCATTCTTGGTCTCAAAATCTTGCAACCTTGAAAGCTCAGGGCGAAGAAGCCTTACATCACCGATGGCACCAACACGCGCTACGTCGAGGAGTTCGTCACCGTCCCTGATTTGGATCCCTTTGAGTTCGAGGAGGCAAGCAATGTGTTGCTATATAATCATAATCCAATCGGGTTTCTTTAGATATTCATGTAATTTATTTGGGTGTTCCTCTATGTGTGTGTGTGTTCTTGTGTGCTTCCTGGCCTTGTCTGACAGGCGCCAGGCTCACCTGCCAGCATGGTCAGCCAGGCAGAACCTGGACCGGAGCATCTTGTGGTGTATGACACAGCTGGCAAAGCATTGCTAGTCAAGGTTTTGGACCCAACCCAGATGGTTGAGCTGCCCCCGACTGATGCGAAAGACTATTTCGTTCAGAAGCACCACACCAACAAACGGGAATTTGTGAGTAGCCCTTCTGTTGGCTTCATGTCATATGTTACTTTGCAGCAATATGCACAGTGATTTCAACATCTCTCCCTGATTGGGGCCTTCTTGTCTGCCCCTTTCTGGCCAAGGCTGATGAGCTTCTGGCGAAGCGTGAGCCTGAGGGGGAGCCGGCAGAAGCGAAGTCGAGTCCACATCCCTGCTGCTCCTGGTGGTATGGCTACTTGTTAGAAGGTGTTCATAACATTTAAATATTTTCAATGGCGGTGTCACTTACACCTGTGGATTTGCACCAGCCATGCAGCATCAATTCAAAAGGGAGCAACTGTCATTGTGGTTTAAGATGCATGAGAAACTTGTATCCTAGGCTAGGGCAACCCGTTCTTTGCAAGAGCGCTGGTCTACGACCGCCCAGCCGACGGAAACACTGGGAGAGGTGGAGGACAGCATTGGGAATGGCATGTGCATCACAGCCTGTGTGTTCAACATGTTCATCCCTTTCTCTGTGAATGGCAAAATCTCTACAACAAACAAATTTATCAACATTGTTCAGGTGTTGGCAGATGAGGAGTGCACGGTGGTTGCAGCTAAAGCCGTTGCTTGGCTTCGACCACAGCCTGTCAGCATCGGCACCAACTTCAGTGCAACAATCAATTCCAACATTGTGTTTTTGTTTCCTCTATTTTTCCATGAGGCTCCAGCTCATGGTGGTGGTGGTGGTGGTGCCAGCAGTTCAAGCGCTCGTCTGACTGAATCGAATGTGGCGAAGGCTACTGCTGCAGCAGCAGTCCCGAAGCCCCCCACTCCGAAGGCAGTGTCCCCATCTGCAACTGCAGCTGAGGGGTGATAATTTCAAGCCTTGAGGTCTGCTTTTGATGTTTTGGCCATGAAAGGGGGAGCATATAATTGTCCCAAAATTGACCCCAAAAATGGAGCCCCAGGATTTCAAGGGTTTTGTCCCAGGTGTTGGGTGTATTTGAAAAATTCCCACCTAATACACAGATTTCTAGGGTGTAATAGGGTACCCTCTATAGCCCCCTCAAATAAGGATATTTTGGAGGTTTGAAGGGCTGGGTTTCCAAAGCCAATTTGAAGAGAATGTCTAAAACAGATAAAAACTGAATGTTGAAAAGAGGGGGGAACTTAATGAATCACCATTGTCATTACCAGGATCAGGACCCGCTAACCAATTTTCATCGGCCAACAGCTACCAGTTCGTTCCCACACATTCCAAGCATTTGTTTTCCACTCGAACGTAGGCTACGGATTTAAACCATCACAGTTTTTACAACTGGAAGGGCTTCTGGGTTATCCCGCCTCAAACGTAGGCTACGGATTTCAACCATCACAGTTTTTACAACTGGAAGGGTTTCTGGGTTATCCCACCCAAAATATTGGAGAAGACAGATTGCAATTGCATTGCTGTTTTTCGAAATTGGGCCAGATGAATGTGTTTGCATGCTTTCGTGGATGTTTCCTTGTCACGTACCCCGGTGTTGTTGAGTAAGTCAACCCAATGGCCACGTTGCAGACCTGACCTATGATATTTTTGTAGGGACGCTGTGGCTGAGACTGTGTAAAGCTGGTGAACGATGATTTGAAGCCAAGGTTCCCCAATTGAATCTTGCGCAGCCAAGTGATACCATGGCGGCAATATCATGGGTAAACAGGTAATGTCGTGATTTGCACATCTAGTGTTGGAACAGGACCCAATCTATATGTATGCATTTTGCAAAAAAAAGATTGTTGTGTGTTTGCTTTTGCCCATGGGCCGTGGCTATTTGCCGTGGCAACGGTGTAGACTAAGGCGTCTGCTTTGACCAGTCGATGCATGCAGGAACCCACATGGAACACGGGTACTGGCTCAAACATTTTAGGGAGCTAGACACTCTAGGGATCTATCAACTCAACCTATTTGTTGACTGGTTGCCATGTTTTTTGTGCCAATGACAAACATCCCAAACCATAAGAACCAGTATCAGCGGAGACAACCAGAGCTGAGCTGGTGCCTGAGTTGAACTCTATCATGCAAGCCGCCAGTCGGTGGCGCTGACGCTGCAGCCACGTCGGCTGCAGGGAAAATTGACTGTGCCGATCCTCTGAACTGGGTGATTTTGGGGTAGTATTGGGGGTCCTTTGAAACACATCCACTGTACCACATTTTAAAATGGAGGAATGGATACTTTTAAATTTACGATGTATGCATCTTTTAATTTCATAGGCCAACCCTCAAACAAATGGTACTCTCCATTGGGGCATTGAAGGAAATGGCAAACCCCCTGTAGAAATTGGAATGATTCTTTTTTTGGGGGGACATGTGGGCATAGCGGCATTACTGCATAACTAACTAGCCAAACTTCAGACCTCTTGCATTTGCCGGGGGTTCCCCACCAAGGTGCTAGACCCACACTTGTACACTTGTTGGATGCAGCAATCGGG